AGCACCAGAATAATTAGAATTCATGCGGATACACGAAATATAACAAATATTGTCTCCACAATCTGACTCAGCAGGTGAATTCCCCAGTACCAGACTGATATTCATCAGAGCGACGCAATCGCACCTTATTAACTCCCTTTTTATAGCATATACAGATAGCGTATCATCAGAAGAAATCCGGACCAATCAATACGAAATCAGACAAAAATTGCGGCAGCCACAACGGCAGATATACGGAATTTACACAATTTTTCCTGAAAATCACAATTCACCAATTTGCAACAGAATATAGATAATAAATTCTCCAGAATATTTTATTCTTACTGACAGACAAGTTATTCACTTACACAGAAAAATCCAGTTTCGACTAAAAACACAGTCGAAATCAAAAATAACCCGGACAATAAATCTTCAAAATATAGTCAAAACGTGCACCACATCGGCCAGACAACAAATATAGCAAACAAGTTACACGCGTAAAAACTGAACCAATCAAAAGATACGGACGAAAAATCCGCTAAACGGAAACAAAATCCGGGACAGAAAAAACGCACCAAACACGACACAGTCTGAAAATTGAAGAAAGGCAGATGCTGCCTTACCATTGCGTACAGCAAATATTCAAACAAGTCTCTTTTGGACGAAAACGGTTCTCGTCGCCCGAAAATCACTTTCAACAAATGCCCTCGACTTTCTCTCTCCTCAAAATCAGATATTTTTATATTTTTGATTTTCTCTCTTTCCAAAACGACTGATTTCTGCTTTATAAATACTCAGATTGGCCCGGCCGATCGGCCAGATAGTCCCAGGACGATCAGACCAAAAATCGATCGTCCCTGGACGGTTCCTCGACTATTTTCCGGCCGATAATTTTTACAGTGCAATCGCCTGGTTCGAAGTCCTCCGATCGGGCCTAGACGATGCTTACAGAAAAATCACCCTGGAAACCAAAATCTGGGTAAATTCCTGGAGCAGATCTCAACTGATCGTATCCAGGATAGATCCCAGATCGTCCTGGACGGATCCTGGAGCAGAATTTGATATAGCGTAAGCAACAGCGCAGCGGACGCGAACGGCGACAGCCCTCGAAGAGGCGAACTGGCGACTCGACGGATCGTCGACGCGGCGCGATCGCGGCGACCGCGGGTCATTTTCGCGGGCAGACTGAGTCGACAGCGACTGGACGGTCGTCGGGATGGCTGGACGCTGCAACATGGCACGCGCTGGACATTTAGCGGGCCAACGCGGGCACATTGAGCAGCAGAAATGGGCTAGGAAGCATTTCCGGGTCCATTACCGGGTTTCCGGGGTCAACCCGAACCTGACCCGAAACTCAAAATCGTGTCATTTTGAACCCGAACCGTTGTGATAATCGGATCAAACTGAACCGAATTTTTTCGAGTCGGGTTCGGTCGTGTTTTCGGGTCTCGTTAAAAATTTGACAAGCTCTACCGTGCTAATTATGCCTGCCTTTGTGTTTGCCTGCCGCGCCGCCCTCCCTTAGCTACCACTGCCCCGCTACACTAAACCGGCCGTGAGATTTGACTGGGTTTGCGACAATTTTTCGAAGACCCAATCAATTTGTTGAAGAGGGGCAAATGTGTTTAAAGAGGTTTTTTTTCAAATTATAATTATAAAAATAA